TACATTTCTTTTTTTTTTTTTTTAATTTTTTTTTTTTTTCAACGTTTATTTATTTTTGGGACAGAGAGAGACAGAGCATGAGCGGGAGGGGCAAGAGAGAGGGGAGACACAGAATCGAAAGGCTCAGGCTCTGAGCCATCAGCCCAGAGCCCGACGCGGGGCTCGAACTCACGGAGCGCGAGATCGTGACCTGGCTGAAGTAGGACGCTTAACCGACTGCGCCACCCAGGCGCCCCATAGTTACTACATTTCTTTAACTTGTTACCATCCCCACTGCCTGCATACAAACATTTTCATTAGTACCCATTCTTCCCTCTCAGAAGTGTTAAATGTCCCATCTCAGAAGAAAATGTCTTAGAAGCCTAGTTTCTACATCCTTCTAAAAGAAGGTCCCTTTCTGTCTAATGCTAATTCCTCCCCTGGTGCTTACATATCCACTGCAGATTCCTTATGAATCTTTCTTAATTCTCTACCATCCCCTTTCTCCTGTGGCTTTAGCCTTTCCTCCTTTGATTTTCATCCTCTCAATTTAGAAACACATTCATCTTCTTCCCATTACTTTCACATTAAATGTCCGTAAAAGACTGGTCTACTTCACACCCCAATCTCTTCTAAACACTGCTCTGTCAACTGCACCAAAGCTGCTTTGTTAACATAACCAGTGATATTTTAAATACCAAATTAATGGATTCCTTTGGGTTGTATTCCAGTAAAATTTCTATATCGGTTTTAAAATTGTTAACCACTCTTTCCTTCAAACTTTTTCTTCATTTGCATTTTATGACCTCACTTTCACTTAATTCTTATACCTTTTTGTCCCCTGTTCAGTCTTTTTCCTAGGCATCTCATCTTTTCTGCTTCTAGAAGAGGCTTAGAGATATCTAGCTTGCCAAATTAAATAAATTCTTCCCCCATGGCTATTGGAATCATCTCAAAGATCCCTATGTGTTAGGCAAATTTGATGCTGTGGTAGTGATTTTGTGGTTAGGATAAATATATAATGAAAACTGGATCATGACTACTTATTTTCCATAGACTTCTAAAGTGTCTAAAGATGTAGATAATTTTTAGTAACAGCTTATATGAATTCAGTTTAAGCCTCATCTAAAGGTATGAAAAGCCACAATAGAAATATAAACAACAAAAACTCCATTATTAAACATTTCCTGAATGCTAATTGTGTAATTGTCAAGTACCAGGGTCACTTGAACATCTTGTCCTCATCTGGTACTACTAGACCACAAGAATTTTCTCCCTCTCTCTCTAAGGCAGGTACCAGGTAGTAAGAACCACTCCTTATTTCTACTAAACTATGAGATTTTTCATCACACTGTGGGCTCCCTGCAGATAGAGATGATGTCTTAGTCATCTGTGTCCTCTGTGCCAAGCAGACCATTTGACATGTAAGTTCACAGTGAATGCTTATTGAGTTGATTTAGTTTGGGTGGGATAGACTGAACCAAATTAAAATGGCATGGAAGATGCTTCGGAAAGCAGTTTGGAAGTTCCTTAAAAAGTTAAACATAAATTACCATATGCCTTAACAATTCCACTTGTAAGTAGGTACCCAAGAAATGAAACATATTGATACCAAATGAAACATATCAATATGAACATGACTGTTCATAGCAGCATTATTCATAATAGTCTAAAAGTAGAAACATCCAAATGTCCATCAGTTGATAAAAAGAATGTGGTATGTGTACACACACACACACACACACACACACACACACACACACACACACTGGAACATTATTCAGCCACAAAAGGAGTGAAGTACTAATATATGCTACAATATGGATGAACCTTGAACATGCTGAAAGAAGCCAGTCATAAAAGGCTACAAAACACTGTGTGATTCTATTTATAAGAAATATCCAGAATAGACAAATTAATAGAGACAGAAAGTAGATTAGTGGTTGCCTAAAGATGAGAAGAGAGAGTTGAAGGGGGTGATAATAAAGGTGCATTGTTTATTTGGGTGTGATGAAAATGTTCTAAAATTGATTGAAGTGATATTCGTACAACTCTGAATATTTAAAAAATTTAATTATACACTTTAAATGGATTTTGTGATATGTACATTACATCTCATTAAAAAAAAGAACACTGAGGAAAGTTAAGGGAACCACAAATAAATCATAAATCTAGACTTTGGTTAATGTGGAAGAGACTTTTCATAAAATTACTCATTGTTTTGTTTTTTTAAAAAAGGAAGGGGCATAGAAGTTGTGGGATACAGTTAGTCAAGAGCACTTTGAACATTCTCTTGCATTCTGCTGAGAAACAGAAATGTCTAAAACTCCATTTTTCTTCCCTAGCACCACTAGTGTAATTCAAAGGGAACTTTTTGAAACTTATTGAAAGATAGGCCAGGTTTCTGTTCCTCTGGGAATGTTTAGATAGATGACAGATGATAGAAAGATAAGTAGGTACATAGGTAGATAGATAGAGTGGTGATTGCACTTGCTGGGGGAAAAAACAAGTATAAAATAACTTGCCCTTCTATAAATACAATTCAGAAAGAGTTATTTTTTGTGGATTATTGGACTGGGTGAGAACTTTGATAGCTCTTCTATTATAATACTTTCAACAACTGCAGCAGTTGATTCCGTTTTCCCTTGTTTCTTACTGTGTTTGAGGCAACATCTGTTGAAGTTCATCATTTAAGCTCCCATTTGCTCCCTAGCCATTTTTCAAGGGTCGATGATTTGGTTATTTCTAGGCAGGATTATTATTTTTTTTTTTTAATGGCCAGATTGTTTCTTCTCTAAGAATGTATGCAAAGAAAAGTAAATGTGAAGGCACTGTAACTTACAGTCTGGGTACAGACTTACAGCCCCTGAAAACCTTCTACACTTTAATGTCATGTCAGTCATTTTAATGTCTGTGGAATTGCATTTGGAAAATGGGGGACATAACTGTCTACTTGAGAGAGAGCTAATGATTAAATTCATGCTTTAAAGATATTTTGAATTAAAATATTGAAGATATTTGAATTAAAATATACTATAACTCATTCACACATTCAGAAATGAAGCTCTTTGAGCTTGTAGGAGGAAATACTGCGATGCTGATTTAGAACAGCACTGTCCAATAGAAATATAATGTGAGGTACAAATGTAAGCCAGATACATAAAATTTTAATTTTTTTGTACCTACATTTAAAAAGGAAAAAGAAACAGATGAAATTCATTTAAATAATATATTTATCTCAAAATATTTACCTCAGTATATTCAAAATACAATGTCAACATGTAGTTAACAAAACAATTATTGATATACATTATGTTCTTTTTTTTGTTCTAAATCTTTGAGATTTTATGGTGTGGTTTACACTTACAGTTGGTCTCAATTCAGATTGGCCATGTTTCAAGTGCTTAATAGCGACATTCATAGTGGCTACAAATTGGACAGATTTAATAAAAATCTATAAATAATTTAATAGTAAAAATTATTTTAAAATAATTTTAAAAAATTAAAATTAAATAAAAATTTAAAAAGTATTAAAAAATAATTTAATAGGGGCGCCTGGGTGGCGCAGTCGGTTAAGCGTCCGACTTCAGCCAGGTCACGATCTCGCGGTCCGTGAGTTCGAGCCCCACGTCAGGCTCTGGGCTGATGGCTCAGAGCCTGGAGCCTGTTTCCGATTCTGTGTCTCCCTCTCTCTCTGCCCCTCCCCCGTTCATGCTCTGTCTCTCTCTGTCGCAAAAATAAATAAACATTGAAAAAAAAATTAAAAAAAAAATAATTTAATAATAAAAATTTAATAAAATCTATAAATCTATAAATAGATTTAGAATTTAGAACTTTTATTCTGATTGTAGCAAGAGGATGAGTCATGGGAGAAAGTCAAGTAGCAGTTTTGCTAAATAAAGGAAAATGGTTTCATAAGGAAAAAAAAACCCTTTCCTATGTGAGATTATAATCTAAAGTAGGACTTTCTGTGTTCTTTTTGATTAGTCTTAAATTACTTTTACAAACCTATTTTCTTTGAAAAGTAATCTTAATTGGTAGAAGAAAGAAATATATGTGGTAGTTAGGAATATTTTAGAGACTTTGTTCTGAATGGGACCTCTAAAAGAATCTGATTGGCTGGATCTTCTTAACTTCAGGAATTGAAAATATAAGAGGGTTTGTGAATTGTTACATTTAATAACACCAATATTCAAAAACATAGTATAGCCTGTATCGTATATATTACTAATTAATATATATTATTAATATTTATATATAATTATAGAATATATCATTTTATATGATGCCATTATTGATTATATTTTCATTTATCTATGTATCTAAATAGTAAATTTTACTTGCCTGTGTTGAAAAGCTTTGAATTATAGAGCTATTCTAAAAAAGCCTGTAAACTGAGACCTCCTTGGGAAGAAAATCAGTATAGGAAAGAGTTTTCTTCTAGTCTCCCCTCCTGTGCTCCCACGTCCCTTGTCAAACAAAAGGATATTGAAAAGTCTATTTGGCCAAGTATTCCTTTTAATTTAAAATAATACTTACATTGGGAACTAATAGAAGTTTAGATGAAGCTACAGACATTTCTCAACAGGGATGTATTTTAACAGCATGAATTTTGACCCAGTGGATTATCAAATATTGTTATTTAGCAATGTTTAAAACAGGCTGGGTCACACAAATAAACTTAAATTGCAGTTTGCTACCTCTCGAGCTCTGTATGAAACTCTCCCTGCCCCCTTTTCAGCCACACTCCCTCTCCCCAGGCCTTCCTCTCAACCTCACAGATCTCTGGCACTAGTATCTGCAGAGGAAGGAGTGGGGATGAAGGCAAGTAGAGTAAAACAATGGGGAAGGGAAGAAGACAGAGTAGGCAGAGTACCTTGTGACCTTAAAATAACGAGCCGTGTTTTCCTGTGTGTCTGGTAAACTGTCTCTAAAGACAATTCCAAAAAAGAAGCTATAAAAATGTTTAGAATAAAGACAACATCCTTGGGCTAAAAGCCTGCCCTACCAAGTTTGCTACCATGAAGCTCATTACACTTTTGACTGTAACTGAAAAGCCGATTTTGGTGTTTGGAAGGTGAGGAATGGAAGTGAGGTGAGGTCAGTCTTACTACTTGAAAGCCATTGTTTATAATGCATTACAATTTTTTGAAAGAATTGACACAAGAAGTAGTGCTCCCCCTGCTCCCGTCTGTTATAAAAAATGATGAGGGCTTCTTCTTTGAGATAAAAAGAGGTTTGTAATTTTGTCGATTCAGGGTAAAACTCTGCTGTGTGCCTCAAAATTTTTCAATTTTTTTTTTTTTTTACATTGAAGTAGCAACATAGTGAATGAGCAGAGTAAAAATTTCAATGCAAGTAAGATTTCTAAATAGCTGTGGTACACCAAATATTGCCTCCCAAAGATGTTCACATCCTACTACTCCCCACAACCTGTGAATATGTTACCTTATATGGCAAAAGAGACGTTGCAATTGTGATTAAGGATCTTGAGATGGGAAGATTATTCTGGATTATCTGGGTGTGCCCAATGTAACCACAAACATCCCTTTGAAAAGGAAGCTAGAAGGTCAAAATCAGAGAAAATGTGAGGAATAGAAGCAAATGTTGGAATGATGTAATTTGAAGATGGAAGAAGGGCTATGAGCCAAGAAATGCAGGGAGCTTCTAAAAGCTGGGTAAGGAAAGGAAACAGAATCTCCTCTAGAGCCTTCACAAAGATTTTAGCCTCACACCTCTCAGACTTGTGACTTACAGAACTGTAAAAAGAATATATTTGTGTTGCTTTAAGCCACAAAGTTTGTGGTAATTTATTATAGCAGCAATACATGCAACATTTGCCTTTAATTTTGATCAGCTACAGTTTCTGTCCTCCCATTTATTTATCATAATTTCATTGCCAACAACAGGAACCTACTAACGATGTGAAGTTCATCATGGGGACAGCAAGCCATACCTGCACATATAAAGGCATCTATACCAGCAAGTAAGGCTACCTATTTCCATTTATCAAATTGATTCATCTAATACATACTGAATAAAAGAGGGGCCAACATCAACAAAATTCTTGCCCAGTTGGAGCCTACATTCTAATGGAGGATACAGACAATAAATAAACAATGCAGTTTCATACAATGGTAACTTTTCTTGGTAAAAGCAAATACTGGCTGATTTTGGAAAAGTTTTTGGAAAGGTTAACCAACTGTCTCTGTGTAAACCCAACTGCCAAGTTCATGTATCCTTTACTACTGTAAGATGTTTTTCCTGAGGTATTCAAGTAAAACCTGCAGGGGTTTCTTAAGACCTGGCATTTCATCTGTTCCATACCAGTTTTCTCAAATTTTGTGGGATAATCACTTTACAGCCTCTGTGCCTATGATCCACCTCTAGCCTTAATGCCATGTTCTGGCCAACATCCCAGAATAACCCACGACTATTGAGTCTCGAGTTGACTCCAGAATCTTTGTATGAGAGTATTTTAGGGATGGTAGTTTCATTAAAGTGTGGTTAGGAGACTTGTCTTAAAGCTCTGTTTGAATAGCAAGAACACTGCCTAGAGTAATGCTTGGGAGGTAAGTACCTGGTAGGTACTCAACAGGTATTTTTAAATAAATTAATGATTATTTTTATCATTGCCATAAAATCGTGATTGAGAAACTTAAGCCTACTGTTGGATGTTCAAAAAAAAAGGTTGGATAGTCAGGAAAACTAGATGAGCAGCACTCATCATAGCATTTTTCTTGATGTACTTTTCTTCTTTCTAGATATACCACATATCAAAGAAGCCCCACAACCAAACTTACATTGGCTAAGAAGATTGGGATATCACTATGACAACATTTCCAGGAGAAGAAAGGGTTACGATACAGAGGAAATCTGGTTTCAGAACAATGGGGGAACTAATAATATAGAGGACTGGTTAAAAGTATGGGTTCTGGAGTCAGACAAGTCTGAGTTTTAATCCTGCCTGCCACTTGTTAGCTGGGTAACCCTGGACTACCAGCCAGTTGCTCTAATTTGCAATTTCAGCAACTACAAAATAAGGAATGTAATGTCTTCCTCATAGCATATAGATGAAATGAACTAATAAGGTAAAGCATCTGCACAGTGCCTGCTGCCAAAGTGTTCAATAAATGCTAGTAGTTAATATTATCAAACGGATGTTATATATTCCCAGATATTCTATAATGGAAATACAGAGATTTTAAGTTTTAATGGCATTTAAGATTACAGTATGGTTATAGTGTACTAAAGAATACTTTTTACGATGAGAACAAATTGCCACATGATTTACTTCCTATTTTTACTTTTGGTTTCCACTGATGAATTATTATACATTTCTGCAAATTTCTTTTTTTTTTTTTTTTTTAATTTTTTTTTTTTAAATTTTTTTTTTTCAACGTTTATTTATTTTTGGGACAGAGAGAGACAGAGCATGAACGGGCGAGGGGCAGAGAGAGAGGGAGACACAGAATCGGAAACAGGCTCCAGGCTCTGAGCCATCAGCCCAGAGCCCGACGCGGGGCTCGAACTCACGGACCGTGAGATCGTGACCTGGTTGAAGTCGGACGCTTAACCGACTGCGCCACCCAGGCGCCCCAACATTTCTGCAAATTTCAAGTATTACTGCCTAAGCCTTTTATTTATAAAAAGTATTAATTTATTTATTAATACATATATATATAATTTTGGATAATGCATAAATATGAACACCTACATCTTTAGTAGTGACTATTTTTATTTTTAAAAATCTCATATCTCTTCTCCCACTTTGGTTTCTTTTATACCCCATTTCCTTGATAACCCATGTTAACAGCCTAATATGTATCCATCCATTTTCTAATTTATTTTGTTGGTTTGTTTTTTACTTTAGAGAGATAGAAAGAGAGAGAGAGAGCACCAGTGGGGGACAGGGGCAGAGGGAGAGAGAGAGAGAATCTTCAACAGGCTCCACAAACTGCAATGCCCAACACGGGGCTCAGTCCCACAACCCTTGGATGATAACCTGAGATGAAATCAAGAGTTGGACACTCGACCAAGAGAACCAGCCAGGCGCTCCACTCTTCATTTATAATTCTATGGAGACTTATTCGTAATATATTTATATACATATAAAAATACGGGGTTATTTTGATCATCAACTTTAAAAATGGGACCATATTCTCAAGCGTGTTACTTTTCTCACCCAACAATATCCAGAGAAAAGATCTTCAATTCATTTGAGTTTAATAGTACAATATTCCATAATTTAGATGTAACATTATCTATGTAGCATTTCCTCAATTATTGAGCGTTCCTTTTGTTTCCATTTTTTGGCACTACAAATTAGGCTACAATAAACATCCTTATATGTCTTTATCTACTGATTTGTTTATTTCTTTGTGATAGATTCACAGGAGTAGGGAATGTACACTTTTAATTTTAATAGATGTTTGATACATCTTTTCCACTAGAAGCAAGAAATGTAAGAAAATTTTATGTCACTTTCACCAAAAATGTCACTTGTACATAACAGTTATGTAGCGATAAATAGGAAATCTTGAAAAAAAAAAAAAAAAAGAATAAACTTCTGGTAAGGAAGTTTCAAACAAAGATGCATTCCATTGGGATATGTCCTCCTTTTTAATTACTGTAATTGGGAAGTGAAGTTGAGTAGGCGCTGGGGGGAAGGGCAGGAGACTTTAAAAAGAAAGGATACTGAAATAGAAACCTCTCCCAAGTTTACTTTCATCAATAGGTGACTTTCCCCTCTATAAGTGTGCTGTTCTAAAACAGGATGTCTGAGAACCTGGTAATACACAATCATATGGCTGTTACACACTTTTTCTTGCAAGTTCATTGGCTTCTTACTCTTTTGGCTAAAAGTTTTATAGTGTGCAGCATACTGATTTTTACCACTTAAACATTTTTCACTAATTTGCTTTAGTAAGGAGTGGAGGAAGGGGAGAGAATTCCATGAACAAGGGCTGTCTTATGAAAGTACAGACATGTTATCAAGTCCTTCAGCAAGTGCAAGTGAAGTCTTAGCAGAGTTAATTGCTCAATTCACTAAGATTACAGTGCATCTTTGTAGGGAGCAGAATAAAATACATGATTTACAAGTTGGAATGAAAAAAAATCTTCATAAAACAAAGTTATCAGGCTTTTTCTGTTAGTAGGAAGAATACTAAACAGAGACGAGTATGCATTTTAAATATTTCTTCATTAGTAATTTCTGTTAAGAAATATGAGTTTTGTGCAAGGTAGATATAAAATCAGTAAGAAAGATTGACATACTTAATTTGTACATTCACTTCAAAAATATGATAGAAAGATGAAAATTGGCTAAAAAGAAACTGTTCGTAATGGTAAAAAGCTTATAATTGTATGACCTTTCTCCTGCAGAAGAACCAGAAAAGAGTCTGATTAATTCATGGCCAAGTGAGCTAATTTAAAAAAAAACAAAAAACACAAAGATGACATTTGAGACAAAGTAGATATAAAATTTTACATTATTTCTAGAATAAATCAAATTCCCCTACAAATATGTTTCATTAAACAAGAGAATATTGAGAAACTTAGGTAATGGGAATACCGTATTAAAGTTTCATTTTCTTCTTGAATCACAATTATTGTGCTTCAGATAACAGCATTCTGAAAAAAAATATGTGTATTTTTTTACTGAGAAATTTGTCATTTTTAAAAAGCTGAAACAGTCTCAATTTTATTGTTTTTTTTTTAAATATAATTTTAACTCAAATTAAGTGGGTAATATGTTCCAAAAAGTTAATTTCTTCCTCAATTCCTAGAAAAAGTCAGGTAGGATATATAACATTCTTTTACAGGAACAGCTCTAGGTTTGGACAAGCTCTAGGCCTGGTCTTTATCAGGTTTCACAGAGCTGAAGAGAAGGGGGTGAAGGTACAGACCAGGCATATCTCCAGTGTGGGAGTGACCAAGAAGTACTGTATCTTTTCTTTTAAGTCTAAATCTTCAAAGAGAGCGATGATAGAGGGCAATTTAAGCTATTAAGCTGAAGAAATGCACACACCTCATACCTAACTGTCAAAGGGATGATTTCACAACTTGGTTGCATAACTGGAAGAAAAAAAGAAGCTTTGGAATTAGAATAAATGAACATATACTCAAACAGTTGTACAAGATCTGCTGAAACTCCCAAGTGTTTCTTACCATAATTTGGAGAATTTTTTGACAAGGGTGCCCTGGAAATCCAAAGCTTATCTAGCAGCAACTCAAATTCAACACAAACCAGACAAAACCATCTTTCTCCCTAGTCTCCCTTCTGCTATTGACTCCTTTTCTAAATGACGGAGCTTGTTAGCTGTGTTCTATTTATATTTTGTATTCTATTCTTCTATATTCAATTTTAGAGAAATCACAACAGGAAAACCCCACTGAATTTACTCTTTAAAAAAAATTTTTTTAACGTTTATTTATTTTTGAGACAGAGAGAGACAGAGCATGAACGGGGGAGGGCCAGAGAGAGAGGGAGACACAGAATCCGAATCAGGCTCCAGGCTCTGAGCTGTCAGCACAGAGCCCGACACGGGGCTGGAACTCACAGAGCATGAGATCATGACCTGAGCCAAAGTCGGACGCTTAACCGACTGAACCACCCAGGCGCCCCAAATTTACTCTTTAATAAATACTATGTAATATGACTTCTCCAGACCAGAGTTCCTTGTTTGTAAATGAGGAATCAAACCATGTAGGTAGAAAGATGATAGACTCAGAAACCAGAGATGTCTGTTCATATCCCAACTCTGCCACTTACCATGTATGTTGTCCTGGGAAATTTTAACAACTCATCTGCATCAAAGACTCCTCATTCTTACATTCTTTGACTTAGTGATTTGATGATGTTTCCATATTTCCATCTCCTATTGAAGAAAATGAACTATTAGCTTTAAGAGAGCCATAGAATTAGTAGATATAGACTTCAGATTGCAGTTCTATTGCAGTTAAAAAATTACAGTTGGAGACTCCCAGAAAAGTGCTTCAATCCAGTTGACTCTACACAACCATGTTCTTGCCTGCCTGAGTGACCGCCTCTAGCCACCTGAGATGTCCTTCTCCCTTCATCCATTTGCACCCTAACCACACTTCAAAGCCCAGCTCAATTCTCATTCTCTTACTGAAGCATCCATTTCCTTTTTTTAAAAAATTTTTAAATTTATATCCAAGTTAGTTAGCATATAGTGCAATAATGATTTCAGGAGTAGATAACAGTGATCCACCCCCTATGTATAACACCCAGTACTCATCCTAACAAGTGTCTTCTTTAATTTGGCATCCCTTTCTGAAACATCTTTTTTTCTGAAAATTTCAGTAAATATTGAATAATAATTGAACTTTCTAATTAAACAGTACTTAAGCCCATATGTGTTTCCACCCTTAACAATGTATAATAATATACTATTTGTTTTACATACACAATATGCTTGAATTATTCATCCTCTTATTTACCTTCTTTAAATACTCATCAAA